GTCCATATTTTGATGTCATGGTATGTAAATTAAAAATTGTTATTTTACGGTGATAATCTTGTTTTCTTGTGCCCAATAATGCATAATTTCATTTGATAAACACGTTTAGATTGAATGGTAATTTATAATCAGTCACAAGAACGTCGAATCTGAATCACTTGAAAAAAACACGGGGGTGCTTAACTTTTTTCCAGGTGTATATCATTTGAATCCTTTTTTGAGAACTTCCTGTGTATACATATTGAGATTTTTGCAAACTAAAATATTTGCTATAATTTGTAAGTGAAAGAACTTGTTAAGTTTATTGTTACATTCAATCAGCATTTTTATTTAACACCAAACTAAAACCTGAAGTAAAGTTCAAAAGAAGCGGAACCTATAAAGATAGTGGTTTGTATATGAAACTTTATAACAACTACAGTATGTGTAACCTAATTTGAAACCTGTAAAGATAGTAATTTATTTATTAAACTTTTATCACAACTACATTAAGTATAACCTAATTTGAATACTGTAAAGATAGTAATTTTCATATTAAACTTTTATCACAACTACATTAAGTGTATCCTAATTTGAAACCTGTAAAAATGGTAATTTACATATTAAACTTTTATCACAACTACATTAAGTATAACCTAATTTGAAACGTGTATAGATAGTAATTTTCATATTAAACTTTTATCACAACTACATTAAGTGTATCCTAATTTGAAACCTGTAAAAATGGTAATTTACATATTGAACTTTTATCACAACTACATTAAGTGTAACCTAATTTGAAACGTGTAAAGATGGTAATTTACATATTAAACTTTTATCACAACTACATTAAGTATAACCTAATTTGAATACTGTAAATATAGTAATTTACATATTAAACTTTTATCACAACTACATTAAGTGCAACTTAATTTGAAACCTGTAAAAATAGTAATTTACATATTAAACTACATTAAGTGTAACCTAATTTGAATACTGTAAAGATAGTAATTTACATATTAAACTTTTATCACAACTACATTAAGTGCAACTTAATTTGAAACCTGTAAAAATAGTAATTTACATATTAAACTACATTAAGTGTAACCTAATTTGAATACTGTAAAGATAGTAATTTACATATTGAACTTTTATCACAACTACATTAAGTGTAACCTAATTTGAAACGTGTAAAGATGGTAATTTACATATTGAACTTTTATCACAACTACATTAAGTGTAACCTAATTTGAAACGTGTAAAGATAGTAATTTACATATTGAACTGTTATCACAACTACATTAAGTGTATCCTAATTTGAAATCTATTAATATTGCGCAGTAGTGGATACAGGGGTGGGGGTTCGAACCCCTCCCTTTTCAATGCAAAGTGCCCTCAATATGCAACCACATTTGTATTAAGTGTGAAAAAACAACTGTTACATAAATTTTATTAAGTCATTTTCCCTATGAGGAATAAGAGTCAAATTGACTATGGAGGTGCTGCGAGCTATAGTCCCCATTTCCCTAAGGTGTCGGGAAAATCATTCACGTCCGTCATGAGCTTCATCTGAAGAAGTAGACCTCTTCCTCCCTCACTGGAATTGTTATTTTGTTTGCACTGTTAACTTTATTCGTATGACCACATTCTTCAATTGGCGGGAAACTGGTTGGTTGTTGGGATTTATTTGCGCAAAACAACTTAGCTATCTGCGCCAAACAACCGGTAAAAGAGAGCAAAACGTAAAATTCTATAGAATTTAAAAAATAAATCGAGTACAAAACTAAAATCAGATAAAAAAATCAAATAGAGTTTAAAAGACCAATAGCTCGTAAAAGTTTCAAAATTCAATCAAGTTGGACAGTGTCATCGTCGCCAGTGACACCGTCCAATATCAGGATTAAACCCCGAGAAAACGTGTCTAAAATGATGCCAGCACGACACTAAAACGTGGGTTATTGTGGCTTGAGTGGTTCAATACCAGATAAAAGAAAACGATGAGTTAAAAAAACTGTGACCAATGTGTAGCCTTGACAAGACAACTTCTTCCTTACGTAAACAAGACGACCAAAGAATAACAGAATATTTGATTTGGAAAAGGTTGTTATGACCTTGCTCACCTCAAGTGGACTGCTAATTGGCGCGAAGCCGTGCCTCGAATATAAGACCGTAGTCCATACATGCGACAGCACCAGAGCAGACGGACTTAGCTGCAGTGTCAGCGAGCTCGTTCCTGTGAATACCGACATTGTCAAGTATCCAGAACAACTGGATGGAAACAGAAGATAGAGAAAAATGGGCCATTCTTTGTTGAATATCGACGAGAACAGAGTGAAAACTAACGATAAGCGATTCCAGGGCCAGTGGAGAGCTAAGAGAGTCAGTGTAAATAGCACAATCAGTGTACTGCATAGCTTCTACATGATCCAGGGCAAGAGAAATGGTATACAACTCGTCAGTGAACACAGCAACTGTAGAGGGTATCCTGTGAATAACTACTGACCCAAAATAAACCATGGCAGGGCCTACAGAGTCACCTGATTTCGAACTATCCGTGTAAACGGGAATAGAAGGATAGTTAGAAAGATGTTTAACAAAGAGAAGACTATACTTCCAATCAGGAGTATCTGCCTTCCTCAGATGTCTCAAATAAAGGTCACATCTAGGAATGGTAATAAGCCATGGTAGAATGGGCTAATCATTAGGGACAGCAACGTCATCTAATGACAGACCCAATTCAGCCAGTTGTGCCTTGATACGAAGTCCAAAAGAAGTAATTCCAGACCATATATTCTGAAAGAGCATGGCCTACTGACAAAGAAAGACACAACTCCAGGTGGGATGCTGTGGTAAGGATTGAAGCTTGGTACTAAACTGCAGAGAAAGTTGCAAATGGCGGAGGTTCGTGGGACTCAGTGTACAAACTCTGGACCAGAGAAGTGCGGAAAGCCCCTGTGCAGAGCTTTAGCCACAGATGGTGAGTGGGGTCCAGCATCTTCAAGGTCGAGGTCCTGGCAGAACCATAGACCAGAGACTCATAGTCCATTTTGATCAAATGAGGGCAGGATAGATCTTGAGCAAATAGCACGGATCTACTCCCCAAGAGATGGAAGAGAGGACACAGAAGATGTTCAGTTCTCTTGTACACTTGACATGTAGCTGTTTGATGTGAGGAATGAAAGTAAGCTTATGGTCAAAGATACACCCCAAGAACTTTACCTCGGGAACCACAGGAAATACAACATTACAGAGACAGAGCTCGAGATTGGGGTGTAGGCCCCAATGGTGGCAAAAATGCATACAAATGGTTTTGTAAAAAGAAAAGGTAAAACCGTTTGCTGTGGACTACTTCAATAATTGATTGAGGGCAGTCCGAAGCTGCTGCTCAATAAACCTCATGTTCGACGACCGAGATGTGGAAGTGATCGACATAGAGCCCATTTGCAACAGTAAGAGGAAGTTTTGAAGTGATAGCATTAATCCTGATACTGAAAAGTGTGACACTCAAGACACAGCCTTGAGGGACTCGAAGTTCGTGTGTGAAAGAATAGGAAAGAGTCAAACCCACATAGACTTGGAATCGTCTGTCTAGTAAAAAGTTCTGAATGGCCATGTAATCCATATGAG